ACATATTCACTAGAGAACTACCCTCTTTCAAGCACCCACACTGTTCCCACAGAGACATTTTGCTTGCACACTCTGTATCAAAAAAATCAGATTTGTGGCTACATGAATCTACTCCAGAACTCTCTTATTGTCACCACCATGGTTCAAAAATCAAAATTTTTGATTTTTGAACCTTAGGTGTCGTTTTCTGTGGAGTGGGGAGGAACTTAAATGTTATTCGAACGACATTATTTAATTTAAAGTTTACTGTTTCAGTTTAAAATCAATTGCAATTTAAACAAATAATTTAATATTTTGCTTTAGGGTAATTTTTTATTGATTTAATGCGCATGATCGATTCTGCCCTTATTTCACCGTCATTGACCAGACTAGTTGACTAATAGCCGGGGATGCGACGTGCGTAATAGTAAAATTACAATACCAAATATAGTTAAAAAAAATAAATAAATGAATAAATATTATTTGGTATTATCGTGTCTCTCATCCCACCGTCAATGTCGCTGATGATAGACAAGGGTTAATGGGGTGGACGTACGTAACAATTCTTTTTTGGTGTATGCATCCATTGAGTCTGTGTACTGTAAACATATTTGTCGTACTTAAAAAAAGCGATACTTTTTCATTTAAAAAATATTTTAAATTTTATATAAAAATATTTTTCTTGGAATTTTGTGAAAATATCATGACTGGTAAAAGTAACTAAAAAGTAAAAACGTTTTACTTTTATTCCAAGAAGGAAAAAAAAGCAATTTTAGAACTTTCGAATTGAAACGAGGAAATGAAAACATAAAACATAAGTGAAAAAGTCTAAAGAGCCTATCAATAATAATCTCATTAATTTTTGTATTTTGAAACTACGGCATAAAGTAATTAGTAATTTAAGAACTTTCTGGAATTTATAGTCGGAAAAATATTTGCGATAATAAAAGAATAAGTAAGAATAAGATTATTGTATTTTTGGAAGTAAAGGAAATAGAATGGAAATGTTATTCTAATCGAGGAAGGGACCTTAAGGATAAATTTAAAAAACCTGGCGTGCCTTTATTTCTTACTTAATTATTGACAGAAATCAAACTGCAATAATTTAGCTAGAAGAAATAGGTACTCCTGGTCTCACACTCAGCAAGTAAATATTTCCGTGTGCACACGTCACAGCAGAATGTGACACAAGGTCGTATTAAATGTGGGATTTCTGGAAAGCTGTACAAAAAAAAAAAAAACTGTTTAAGCACCCTCGACACTTTTCCTTTTGGGGACGCCACCGATTAATAATCCCAGCCCTCACCTGAAGGAGAGGTACTGCATAAGAAGTAGATGGTCCCCTGTGACTTGATCTGATTAATAATTAATTTCAACTTCACTGGCGGTATCTATTCAAGTAAAGATAACTGATAAAAAGTAAGTTAAAGTATATTTCTTTTGTTTTTGTATTATTTTCTGTTTCATTGTTTTTACTACTGCAAACAAACACGGTTTAATTTTATTTTTATGATATTACAATTTTAAACTTTCTAAATTTTTATTTATATAGTCAACAAATGTAAAAGAAAAAAAGAAAAAACGATGCTTAAAAATAAAATCATTTAAAAATCTGCTCTTAAGAAGCTTCCTGTTACATTACAAGTTGTTTTACAACTATCCGCGGTTTCATGAAAAAACGTGTTTTTACTGTTCATCAATTTTAAAAGCGTCGATCTGTACACAATTAACTAGTTTTTAGTGATATCTCCGATATCGAGCAATAAAAACTAGTTTTTATTTTATTGCATTTACTTACTTTGCAAATATTAAGTTTAAAAAGGGAAGATTGCTTAGGCATGTCAGAAAATAAAATTTTAAAATCCAAGCACAGGTTCTCACTCAGCTCAATTTCCGACTTTTTCGAAAACTCGGAATGGGGAAAATTTTGAAACGTTTGTTGTTGCCCACATAGAGCTATCAAAATAAAACTGATGAAGAGGTTTATTTCCTTTTGAACAAAGTTTTGAATTCTTCCTAGACTGTCTTTTATGTTATTATGAACTAAGAAACGTCAACACTCAACAAGACTTGTTAGACTTCTTCACAATGTTCAATTAACTTCATTTGAAACTTCAAGGAAATGGAGTTTGTTTACTACTCTATCAAGGTCAAATCAGTCCTCTCTAGGTGTTCTTTCCGAGTTCAAATGTAACATTAGCCATTGTGAATTTTTCCAGTTTCCAAGAGTCAATAGACTGGAAAGAGAACAGCATATCAGACGACAGCCTTCAATATACTCACACCTGGATGAGTTGTATGTCTAAATCTCGGGAATTTTGTTTTCCTAAAATACCATACTGCGTGATCAATCTATATTTGTAGATATCAATGAAGAAACCAGAATGGTGGTGGAAGACCTGGTTTCACTCCAAAATGAGTTTAAAAACAAAAAAATATTTTGGGCTATCATCTGACTAATACCCTGCACTGTGGAACAAAGTCAAGATATACTTTCATTGCCTTCCCAAGATCATATTCAGTTGAATGGTGTTTCAGTGCTGTCATCCAGATTCTTTCCAAGCAAAGAAACAAACCGAAAATTACTGAATGTTCTTGTTGCTTTCTGGCCTGTTAGTGAGAAGCTGATGTACTTTTATCAAGAACATCCATCCTATTAAAACGGTAAATTTACCCTTTCATGTTGCTAAACCAGTAAGCGAGGAGGGTAATACTGAATTCAAGATCATAGGATAACCAACAGGAAATTATTTCACTATTCCCAAGAAGACATAGCAGTTCATAGATAAAAAAGAAAGGAATCTGTAAAGAGCCATGATTTCCTATGTACTGAAAAAAAATAAAGGTTTTATTTAGTTTCACAAAATATTAAGCAAAACTTTTTTATTTTTTAATTTAATCATTAGTGAATTTTTGAATGTACAAATCAATTTTCAGGACAAAATATATTGTATAAAAAAAATATATTTTTTATTACCAAGTGAATTAAAAAGAAAAAATGGTTAATATTATAACCAAGTTATTATACATTCTATATTTTTCAAAGAAAGAAACGAGCACTGAGTAATTAGTTTTATTTTATAAAACAAAACCATTAAAATTTCTGAGCCTACATAGTAGTGTAGTGATTAAGATAAGTTTAATCTCTATCATGAACTATAACTTAATTGTAAACTTGATTTAAAGCCAATTAAATCACATCTGAATCTCACCTACAGATATCATAATCTACCTCAATATGTCACGAATTAAGTAAATTTATCAAATTCCATCTTTTGGGGTTCTGATAAAATGTACAAAATTTTGTATAAATAAAAAGTAATTGTCATAATCTTCTCTGTAAAGCCACAAGTTAGGCTGTAGTTATTACATTTGGGAAAAGTACAACCAAAAAATATTATAGTTTGTGCTGTCAGTTTTAATAAAGAAATTCTCTTCACAGAATAACATAAGATCTAATAAAAAATGGCAAATAAAAATGCTATTTTTTACTTTTGATTCATATTCCCCAAGAAGTACTGTGTTAGTTTGTCATTTTGCAAGGGACGCAACTTAATGTATCTGACTTTTTCATTTTCTATGAACTGTCAGCTGCCAACAACAATAGAATCCTGTCATCTCACAGGCAGACCAACTTGAAGGGTTTCAGCCAATGTGAGTGAAACAATCTAATTGGTCCTCACAGAGGAATACAATTAGCAACAAAACTAAAATCAAGAATGAATTCCACTTGGTTTGAATCTTCTGGTTTATTCATTTTTTTTTTTCAGGTAAGGACATGTCATCAGTTTATTTGATCAAATGGATTTGTTGAAGTAGATATGTATGTAAGCTATGAAAGATACATGGATTTTACAAATACTAAAAATGTCTTTACACAGCTGGATAAAATCAGGTTTTTTTCCTTCTAATTTAGTTTTTGATTATGAACTGAAATTATGCTAATAGAGGAAGAGACTAAAAAATTTTAATATTTTCTTTTATTAAAAGAATATACACAAAGCTGAAGATAATTTAAATTTTGCCATTGTTTATTTCTTATTGAACATTCACAAAATATTCCTCTTGAGCATTTAATGTTCTTCTTCCTTTGTTAATGACTTTGGTTGTTTTTAGATTTACACTAAGAGTATTTTAGAAATCAGTTCTGAGCTACTTGATATTAAAGTTATTTTAGAATGCCAGTAAATCTTTTTTATTGAACTATAAAAAGTTGCTTAGAATATTGGATTTTTTTTCTTTTCATTGGCTGCACATTAAATTTTTTAATATGAAGTAAAAAAAAAAAAAAAAAATTAGTATTTCCGTGAGGAGGACTAAACCCATAACCTGTGGCTTGGGAAACTAGCAGACTTTTATCAGACACAAAGCAGGTATTAACAACAGTGTCTTATTTCATTATTTACTTTCCTCTCATTCCAGGTGGATTGCATGTACAACTATACATGCATAGACAACAGATATTCTTTTAGAAATTAAATCCTTGTTGGTAAATTAGCCAAGTAAAATGTTTATCAATTCTTATCTCTTTCTTTTCTAAGCTCTCTTTCTTTTTCTCTCTCATTGATTCTTATTTAAAGACTGTACAAACTATCATTTATAGATACATTTATTTTGTTTCAAATTCTTTAGGATTACAACCTAAAAAATTAATTTTGCATTTGTAATAACCAAGAATTCTATTAAAATCCAGGTCTTTCACTTTATAGCTAAAATGAAAATAAGTATTTTATATATGCAATTCTTCTGACTTGTAACATTAAATTAAACCTCATTAGATCATATTATATTCCAAGTGAATAACAAATATAATTAACAATCATGAAAGGTGCATAGTAATTTAGAGTAATTTATAAAATTGAAAATTGAACTTTCTAGAATAATAATCCTTTTACTTTTTTTTCTAATTCTGTCATCCACTTTTTGTTCTGACCAATCAGATCAATTTGGACTATTTCATTATATAAGAACTATCCTTAGGTGTGACTAGTCAAAGATTGTAACTCATGAATAGAACTTACATGATTTTGGAGTTGTGTTCTCAGGGATATATTGTTCTCCTTCTTCTGTGCTGTAGTAAGCTGATAAAAAGAAAAATTAGTCACATTTAATAGTAATAATACTTAAAATATAGCAGAGGAAGTATTGGAGATCATTTATGTATACTGAAATTAGTTTGATTAGACAACTCTAATGATTAGTTATAAAATGCATCCTCTTGTGAAGAATTTCAATTGATACAGAATCCAGATATAATTTCTGCCTCCAAAGCAAAAGAGGAAGAAAAAAAGATAAAAATGAAAAAGATAAAATTATTAACTGTATTAATCTTATTAACATGAATAATTACCCACAGTTTTTTATTTAAAAATAGATAGAAAAACTGTCTTGTCTCTTTGCAGTAACATCAACTTTTGATATTGCATCAATACAGAGTTAATTTAATCATTAATCAACCAGTCTCTACACTTTCCTTAAAATTTATTTAGTGCAACTCCTTACCATAATACTGATTCCATTGTAATGCTATAGTTTCCCATAAAGCATGACTTGATACCTTGCTTCTCTATTTTATCCTCATACTTGGATTACTTCATAATCAATCACTATTTAAAATGATGATATTTCAAATAAAAATGTAGTACCAACAGTATGAATATAAAAAAAGAATTGTGATAGGAAATTAAAAACAAGTTTCTGCAAATAAGTCTTGTGTCTGTGAGTACAACTATAAGTTTTATAAAACATTTTCATAAATAATACTTACCATTTGTAAGCCACATTTCTTGCATTTGGTCTAAATCTTGCAAGAATTCTGAAATAATGACAAAATAATTTAAATTAAAAAAAATAAAAATGTCAATTAAAATAAAATGTTCTTAGTTTAATTCATTTCAATCCAAGAAAAATGAAGTTTTAAACCATTTTTTCAGCTATTCTTTATTGTTTAAGTGTATTACAATATTACATATTGGCTTTTTTTTTCTTTTTTTTTAACAAATGCATAGTTACTGAAATTAGAAATGGGAGATTGATATAGTTTTTAACTTTACATAGAATAGAGGGAAAAAGTGATATTTTAATGACAATGTTTGGGGATAGAAAAAGCTAATCATGTAACAAATAAGGTTAAATCAGATTTTCAATACTCCAATAATTCTTATCACAATGATCTGATGAATGAGGATGATTATTTAAAATGATTAAACATAATGACTTGATATGTAATCCAAAAAAACTCAAAACTGAAGTAAGAATTTTCCCTTATATTTTTATTTTCTTTCCCTTATATTTTTTCTTTTCAAATCAGGGTTTATTCTTTTTCAGAATAAACCCTGATTTCTGTGTAAGCTTAAGACTCTTTTATTTGGCATTTGAGAAAAGCTTTCCATCAATTCTGTTGTTCTTAGTCTAATAAACAAACTAACTTGCAGCTAATTAACCTGGGATAATATTGCTGAGTATTTAGTATTAAGGCAATAATCAAACACAAAGGATATCCAAGATTACAAAGAGATAATATTTTGTCCAATCTGGCTATAGCACTATAGAGAATCATGAAACAAATGGAAGCATATTGAAAGAAAATAACACAAAGCAAGCAGCAATGGCAGCTATAATCTGAGTTATGAACAAAAGCCAAGAATGCCTGAACTGCAACATTTTTTTTTTCAGCAAAACAAAAACATTTACATTAAATAATTAGATATCCAATTTTATTATTAGATATTTAATATAAACTTCAAATTTTGACAAAAACATTTGTTCTTTAAGAAACCATATTTGTATAAATATGGTTAGGTCTATTCTATTAATTATAAAAGATGGCAAACAAATCAGAAAAGTAAAAGATAAAATATATAATTTTAAATAGTTTATTTAATGTTATTTTTGTCTTTTTTTATATCTTCATTATTATTTAACAATATCATTAACATTGTTAACACTAAATCATTTTACTAATATATTATTATGAAAAAAGCTGATTAACATTAATTAAATGTGAGTTACTCTACAGCTGGCAACTGCAAAAATGATTTCTATAAGCAGTTGTCATGCTTTGTTAACATTTAATAAATACACTTTGTCTTAGTTTACCTTTTTAAATGTTAAATGTCTGTAAATCCATCTTTTCCACCCACCCCTATAAACATAAAAGGCATGAAATCAATTAACCCTTTATTAATCTATCCTTTTGATGATAATAAAATAAAAATGTCTGGTGATTCTTAATATTTTGCTGTTACATTTTTGTCTATAACTTTTACTTTCCAATTCTGCCTTAATTTTTTTCTATAAAATGACAGCAATGTTTTCCTGGAAAGATAGTGTACAATAGTTGAAATTTTGCTGCGTTAATCAGAAACTATGTACTAACAAATATTTTTGCTAAAGTTACACTCAACTATTTTATCACCAATTTTTTTTTTATTTTCACACACACACACACACTATCAGATATGAGGGTGAGCTGAAATGTTCATAGGTTGACTATGAAGGAGTGATGCTAGAACTGTGAAATCTTGTATGCATTAATTTCAACTCTTCTTGTTAATAAATGCATTGTTTCTTTCCAGGTTCACTGATATCTGATTGTTCAAAGAAGACTTAAAAAATAACTAGTAGTCACTTCTCTTGAAAATGGACAAAATTTAATATGGTGTTATCAAGTATCTGCAGAAGAAGGGTTTAGCCCCCAAGGACAGTCATGCTGACATGGTTGTTGCATTAGGGATGATGCTCCAGCTTTATCAACAGTGCAAAAGTGGGCAGATGAATTAAGGAGGGGAAGGGAGAATCTTGAAGATGACCCTAGGTCTGGACATCCTGCAACTACTACCACTGAGAAAAACAGTGATCATATTCATTGATCATAGTGATGGATGACAGGCAATTGATTATAAATCAAATCACCAATGCTATTAGCATATCCTGTAAGAGAATTGAGAATATTTTGTTCAATGACCTTGGAATGATGAAGGTTTCTGCTCAATGGGTGCCACGTCTTCTGACACCTGATCAAAAGTGCATCAGTCTAATTGCATCACTGGCAAATCTGGCATTATTGAGGCAGATCCAGCCAGTTTTCTTGAAAGTCTCTTTACCCAGGATGAGTGTTGAGTTCATCACTTTGAGCCAAACAGAAAATCCATGCAGTGGAAATACCCCTTTCCCCTGCTCCAAAAAAGGCCTCATATTTGTGGGATGCAAAAGGCATTGTGTTTATTGTCTTCAAAAGGGCCACACCATCAATGGAGAGTACTATGCCAACTTGCTGAGGCAGTTATTAAAGGCTATAATAACCATACACCCAGAAAAACTGATGAAAGGGGTCTTGTTTCATTAGGACATTGATCCAGCACATCTCCTTGGTTTCAATAGCTTCTGTGCATGATTGTGCCCTTGTACTGGTTGACCCCCCCCCGCCTATATTCTCTTGATATGGCCCCATCTGACTATCATCTGTTCTCCAACATGAAAGAACACTTGGCTTGTAACCAGTATTGCAGTGATGATGTTGTATCTGCTGTTAATGACTTTTTTGACTAACAGGATAACAGCTTCTTCACCAATGGCATCCAAGCACTGCAGCACTGATGCAAAAAATGTGTAGATCACAAGGAAAACTATGTTGGAAAATAAACCTCATTTGGTTACATTTCATGGGAGTATCTTGGTCAGCTTATAAACTTTTCAGCCAACCCTCTTGAAAAAAAATAACATCTACATACACAAATAAGTATATATGCTTACCCATGTACTTAAGCAAACACATACATTTATATTTTTCATATTTCTTTCTTGCATTTAATTCTAGTCATATTCTCTGAACAGTTGCATGAAATGTCTATAGAATTTCTATAAAAGCATAGCCCTCCCACCCAGAAATTTATTTGTCTTTCTCTCTCAGAAATCAACAACAAAATGAATTAGTGCAATTTTTGTACAATATAAAAAATTCTTTAATGAGAATTATAAGCACAACTTCAACACATTTTACCTGAATCAATTTGGATTAAATCAGTATCCAGGTATTTCCATTTTAGGTTGCTGGAGCTAAATTGGAAATTGAAATGCTCATATTTTTTGTTTTTCTGAAAGTAGAAAATATCTCTTTGAAGTAACTAGCAGACAAAACAATGAAGTATATAAAGAAAATAACTAATTAATAGACTATCATAGATCAGTGGTTGGTTTTGAAACTAGTCTGCAGACATCTGGAGATTCATCAGATAATAAAAGTCTGTATTTGAAAATTTAAATTAATACTATGTATTTAAAATTAGGATAAATGAGCTCAATAATAAATCCAACACCATACTATGACCAAAACTCTGTAACAGATTGCCCAACTGAATGTTAAACAACTTGAGAATAAACATCTCAACTATCTCATCTGACATTGTAACAAGGAAACACTCGTACAGCTATAAAAAAAAAGATTATTGTATGCAGACCTGTACCATATGACGGGGGGGGGGGGCTGAAAAAGATATGGTTTTATCATGAAGTTAAAAAAATACCTAATGTTTGGTATTTGGGTGAGTAGGTGACACAATTTTTCACTGTCCTCTCATATTTGAGAAGTAGTTTAAATGATTGCTTGATTTTTTTAAGACATTCAATGAAACTATATTAGTTCAGTTGGTAGAATTCTTGAATATAGTATAAAATAATTTATTTAGTAAAGCTTTTTGTTTAATTTTACATTTTTCTTTTTTAGTTGCTTAAAACACACTGATGTCAATTGCTTAAAATTTAGTCAAATTTGATTACAGTTGTTTATAAACAAAAGTGTCTATATTTATACAACAAAAAAAAGAAAATTTAAAGATGGAACAATTATATATATTAGTTCATTAATTTTTTAAAATTAATCTTTCAATTATATTTAGAGTAAAATTATCATTTTCTTTTTACTTTTTTTTTACTTTTTCTTTTTTTTTAATTATTGAATGAAAACTAGCTTTTAAAAATTAATTATATTAGCCTGAGATATTTTAAAACATTTTTACAAGATATTTTTGATCTCATCTACTATAACTTCAATAATTCTTACCCACTGACATAAAACATTTTCTAATAAATTGTGATATTGGTAAAAGATAACTGTTAATTATCCATTCCTTATGTCTTGTTGATGCATACTATAAGAGAAGACTTTGTTCAATGTAAATGATAATATTAATAATGCATGTAGTTGTTGATGTGCCAAACACAAATTATAATTGGGAGATCTGAAAAGCATAAGTTTTTTTTTCAGTCAAGTAGATTATTGAAAGTAGAATCAGTTTACATAGAGAAGTATTTTATAATGTGAGAAAATTCAGTTTTTAATAATAATAATAATAAACTTTTGTGTAAATCATTTTATAATTACCCAGCAAATTTAAATCTCCACAAAACTGCATTTAGCTATAAAGATGGTGATTTCTCAGTCAGTATTTTAACAACCTCTTTAGAATGGTTTATTTTAAAAACAACACTTTTTTGTTGTTTTAGAATATTGGTATTTTTTTATTTAATAAGTGTCTACATGAAATGGCCTATAAAAAAAAAAAACAATCTGAACAAATTTGGGAATGTTCATCTCTAATACACCTCTAATATGTACAAAATACATACAAACAATATTGATCCTTTTATCTCAAGGTACAGTTTGAATGATAAGTATCTTCTAAAGAATTTGATACTACATTTTCTAGTTAACTGATATTCTCAAATTAGAAATTAAAGTATTAAACAAACTATACACAGTATTTTTCTTCAGTACAAAGTTTTACAAATCAACAATTATTACAATTGGTATTTCTCTTCAGATTAACACATCAGCAAGAGTCTTGTCAAATATAATGTTTTATAGAATTATGAAAGTGACTTAATATTGCTCAAGAGAAAGATATTTAAGAGGAAGTAGAGAATGAATTTTAATTCTTGGCCAATAGTTAATAAAATAATAATAATAAAATTAAATATTTACTTATTAATCTCTACTCCATGAAACTCAGACTAGGGACAAATAAGTGAGCACTTGTTTCTATTAATGCTCTGTCTCTTGATATTGAGCACTTTAATATCAAGACTGCTTGTCATAAAAATGTTCTTGAGAAACCACTTTTTTTTTTTGTAAGATGTAATTTTTGTTATAAAATTTATAGGTAGATTAATATAAGTGTTCCATAGATTTCAATATTTTAAAAAATATCAATATATTATGAAGAACGAAATAATTTGGTCTTTTTTTGTGGAGGATCAAAAGTGAATTTAAGGTTCCTCTAAATTATTCATCTGCTTTTTCAAAGTTACTTTGTTTTGAAATTTTTGTTGCAGAAATACAGAATCAGTATATATTGTATATATTAAACAGACATATTATTTTGTATAAAAAGTATTTTAATAAAATTAATAGAAAATAAGATAGTACAAATGTTGCTTCTAATAGGAAGCAACATACTGTCAACAAAATTAAATTTATTTCACTTAAAAGGATAATATTCTGACACTTTCAGGTTCTTGATTATATTTTTGTCATTTCAATATTTATGATAACTAATGTTGAAAAATAAAAAAGTACTACTAACATTATGTAAAAAAGTACTACTAACATTATGATGTTCTAGTGTAAATAATCTCATGTAAAAATATATAGAAAATATGTTTGTGATAGAGTCTTATCAAACAATTCTTGAAATTAAACAAAATATTATTCCATTAGGTGACCATCAAAGGCTCAAATTCATTGATCTAAAAGCCCACATTTATGAACACAAGAGAAACTTGCATTCAGACAATCAGTCTCTCTTGTTTTGCATCAAAATGATACTGGACATAACTTTGATTTCACTAATGCCACCCTAATTAAAAAAGAACCTAATTCTTTAAGGAGAAAATACACTGAAAACTTAATAATTATTGTCAACTATAAATACATGCTTGAAACATTACATTACATCGCCATCTTTCTTTGAATCCATTCTTAAAGAATCTAACTTATATCTGATACAAAGAATACATTCTTAAAGAGGTAAGGCATAAATTAGAACCCTGTGATTCCCTGCTGCACAGGCTGACCGCACAAAGTTGAAAACCCCAACTAGACAGACACACACACAATTACAAATATACATTGCCATTGGTTGCCCACTTAGACATACAAGAATCTTCACAAATCTATATACATATAGAATTATACATGGTTTTAATACATGTGACACATGTCTAACCAATGAGAACTGACCTAAACATAATTGAAAATACCAGTGTTTTCTGTCTTTTTGTCTGTTTTCTCTCAATCTCTGATGAAGCTTTAATAAAAGTGAAACATGTTAGATATATGTTTCCTATTTGTTCTTTTATTTTATCATATTTATTTTAAAAAATACTTGTAAGATAAATTACATGCAATCAGACAAAATATAGAATTGATCTTTTCAGGTTGATATATAACACTAAAAAGGTGTGTTGATCACCTGCCCAGCTATACAAACCTATTTTGTTGACAGGTGTATGAGATTACAACCAAATGGCTGTTCTTTACCATCCATCATTTGTGAAAACAAGCCAGACATGTTCATATATGAATGGACTGAATCAGTGTTGCAAATAAAGGTATTAAACCACTTTGCTTCTTATTAGTTGGCCATAAATTTACAGAAAATATTCAGATGAGCATTTATTTTAAAAGACAACTGTTATAAACTCCTGTTTGATTATGGTCTTAAAACTCATCTATTTGAAGACAATATAGATAAGAAAATAAATTAATTTTATTCACTGATAACTAAAAAACATAATTTGAATGTAAGAATAGATCAATTTTTACTAAAGTGCTAATGTCTGTTGTTTATTTATGATTCATATGAATTGTAACAATTATTGATAATAAATGAAAAAAGTATCATTTTTTTCTATGAAATACAAAATACTGCATTTTCATAATATTCTTACATTGTTAAAAATGTATTAAAATATCCAGTGATATTAGAAAACCTTAATAGAAAGAAATAGTAAGTCTATTAGTCTTGTATCATTAGCATTTAGACTATTGTTAAAAAATATAAGTTCTGTTCATTTATATGAATGAAAAAAAGTTTATCATTTATTTTTATGTTGAATAAAAAAATAATTTAATTTTTTCATTTTACTAATGTTTTACTTTCAAACTGTAGGAAAATATTTTTTTAAGGAATCAAATTATAAAGCTGTATTTTCAACATGCCAAGCACAAAGCTTGCTTTTCATTGTCATCAATTTTTAATTCTCTTTAAAAAAGCATAAATATTCAAATATTTTGGCACCTCACTAAACAGAGAAAGCATATACCAAATCAAATTTCATTTTCTGATGATTAAACACTAATCAGTTTCTTTTGCATTGACAAATTATTACCATTATTAACAACTCTTACTTATGAATCTGCATGTCAAACTATCAAATGTATTTTAGCGCATATATTTGCATATTTGTATATTTGTAGATGGAATACATTCTGTTTTTGAAAAATATCTATGAATTTATATAATTTTAAAAATGCATTTACAACAAAATGATTTTAGAGTGAACAATATTGCATTTTACATATCTGCTGACCAAACAGATATGCATCCTTGTCTTCACAGAGCCTTTTTGTATAAACATTTAAATATTCTTAATTCTTAAATTGAATTTTGCGACAAGTAGGAATTTACAATTAAAGTATGAATAAAATAAATGAAGAATGAGAAAAGAAAACTTGCTTTGAAAATATTTCTTAAATAGTACAACACTTGAAATGTTTTGAATAACAAAACAAAACAATTCCTTTTTTTAAATGAAATTTAAATTATACAGAATTTTTTTTCTGACTGATTTGTTGTAAACTGAAAAAAGACAGACTTTTAAGGTAGGAATGATTGTTGGCGGATGTAGCTATGAGTGGAATGGTCAAGAATAGTTGTTTAGTGTCTTCATTGAATGGAACATGAAATAAAATGATGAATATTCAAAAAGGCACCTCCTCAAATTAGTGCATCAGCTTCTTCTGACAGCTGAAGGCCAAGAAGAAAGAAGAATGAAATGGGTGGGGATAGTTACAAAGTGTGTGTTAACATGTATGTGCCTATGAAAGCAAACATCTGTACATGTATGAAAGGAGATTTATTTGAATGTATGCATATCCATACAAGAATTAGTGGATGTGTACATGGATGTATGTGTAAATGTGTACATCAATGAGTACTGAGTATTCATATACCGAAATGCATAAGTGTGTGTGTGATATAAAGTTTGTGTAATATAATAATGTAAGCACACATAATATATCAAGTGTGTATGAAATCACATTTTTATTAACCTCAGAAGAGATATTCATTTAATTCATTAATGATGTCAACCAAAGAAAATGAAAATGCTATTGAAAATAAGAATGTGAATACTAATGAAACTGTCTTCCAAATATGGGAATGATAAAAAGAAGCTACACCAAATAAGGAAAACATTTATAAATATTAATTATCTTTTGAGTTTAAT